GTCACATAAAGCAGATAAAAACAACAGATGGTTAAAAAGCTCTATTGAGAAATCGTTTGTTTGAGGCCACTCAGTGTATTCTTGGCTTAAGTGTCTGCAAGACAGAATTTGTCTGAAATAAGCAGAAATTATTATTTGGATCGGGCACCCCCTTCTCTTTTAAGTTCAAGGTTGGCAGTGTATCATCGCTAGAAAACAATCACAACTGTCACGTGAAAGAAAACAAGATGCAACACAGGTCCGGGGAATCAGACCAATTTACAATAAATAACTAAATATTCAAGTAGCCAAGAACAACCACCAAGAACGCCTTTGAGTCAATGTGATGGAATGTGTTCTGTCCCCACTACACGTTAGTCTGCGTGGAGCGCGACATGCAGCCAAACCCCTCTGTTTTCAATAAAACAGACCGTGTGCGTAGTTCTGAATGCTTTATTGAAAGAACAGGATATGGTGAAACGGGGGAAAATAGGAATACATACAATGAGAATCAAATACAAGACAGGCAGTATTAAGTTACTGCTGAACATAACAATAAATACAAGCAATTTAAATCTCAGCAGCGATGCTCTGTGTGTGGGATGTGGGTTTGTCCTTGGATGACCATGTGCCACAGATGAAGATGGATTCTTCTTGTGCTTCTGCCTCCTGCAAATGTGAAAGGAAATGGAGTCTGGCTTCCCAGCGTGCCCTTGGTTTGAGAGTGCTGGCTGATGGGTAAAATGGGTTGGGTCAGCTTCAAACAATATACTTGGTATTTTGTCTCTTTGGCCACTAGTTGGGGCTAGAGCGCAACGACAGTATATAAAAGTTACCGTATTTTTCAGAGTATAAAATGCACCTTCCCCCTCTCCCCTAAAAGAGGGTGGAAATCAGAGGTGGATTTCAGCAGGTTCTGACCAGTTCTGGAGAACCGGTAGTAAAAATTCTGACTGGCCTCACCCCCATCTATTCTCTGCCTCCCGAGTCCCAGCTGATCGGGAGGAAATGGAGATTTTACAGTATCCTTCCCCTGCCATGCCCACCAAGCCACACCCACAGAATCGGTAGTAAAAAAATTTGAAACCCACCACTGGTGGAAATGTTGGTGTGTCTTATACACCGAATACAGCCATTTTTGGCCTCCCGAAGCCCCGCCCCACTCATTCAATTTTTGCAAAAAACAGGTCTGCTTTTTTGCCCATTTTTCGCAAAAACGGGGGCGTTTTTGCCCTCCCCCAGCCCCCAGGAGCACTCTGCAGGCCTCCCAAACCCTCTGCACACCCCATGTTTTGCAAAAACGGACAAAAAATAGGCTGTTTTTTGCCCATTTTTGCAAAAAATGGCACGCACAGAGGATTTGGGAGGCCTGCAGAGTGCTCCTAGGGGCTGAGGGAGGGCAAAAACGTCCCAATTTTTGCAAAAAATGGGGCACGCAGAGGATTTGGGAGGCCCGTAGAGCGCTCCTGAGGGCCAGGGAGGGCAAAACCTTAGTGCGAAAAATACGGTATATGCCGGGGCATGACAGAATGTATTCATCACCCATGCATGGAACCAAGCAAAACTCTCCTAAAATTTGTTTTTGGATTCCTCCAATCAAGAAACGATTAGGGTTTAATAGTTGAATATTGGCACCAGCAGCAGAGTGAATGTGGAGCAAAAGCCACACGGGAAATTCTGATTTGCACAGCTTTTGGATGGGAAATCATATCCACCATTTGACTCTTCCCATCAGATTTATCACCCAAGAAAGAGAGGAACGACATACAAGCTGAGTACATTCCCAGCCCTAAAGTTACAACACATCTGAACATTGGCCACTTTTCTTTGATACATTTTTTAAAAGTTTAGAAATCATGGATGGATGTAGCGCATGTTCCCCAATGGGAAATTTGTTGGTTTCCATTAGATGCAGTTGGATTGCATTTCTTATAGAGTGGAAGAGATTTTGGAGGTTTTCTGATCCAACCCCCTGCCTAGGACCAGAATTTTTATATCATCCCAGACAAAGAACTGTCTAATCTCATACTGAAAATCTCCTGTGACAGAATACACACATCACATTTCAGGAGACAGGCCATTTTACCGCTTAATAGCTCCATCAGGAAATTTCTCTTTATTTCAAGTTTAAATTTTTGTTAAGCTTCCTCCCATTGGTTCTTATCTTATCCTTGACTGCTATGGAAAATAAATCTTGTATTGGAAGACTGTTTTCATGCCTCCCCTTAGCCTTCTCCTTTTGAGGCTAAACATACCAAGTTCCTTTAACCACTTTCATAGGATTTAGCCTTCAAGTCTCTTATCATCCATGTCACTTTTCTCTGCACTTGCCAGTTCCTCAACATCCTTTTTGAATTGTGGCAACTAGAACTTTACATAATCCAGATGTGGTCTGACCAGTGCAACATAGAGTGATACTGTCATTTAATTTGATCTTGATACTATTGGATGAAGCCTTCTAACACTGCACTCTCTTTCATGGCCTTACAAAAATCCTGCAGTCCTTAACAAAAGATGAACAACATGAAACCCAGGGTTGTTCTTATATAGGATTATCTATCTCATAGATAATCTAGACTAGGGGAGACATGATATCAATGTTCCAATGTCTCAGGGGCTGCCACAAAGAAGAGGGAGTCAAGCTATTCTCCAAAGCACCTGAGGGCAGGACAAGAAGAAATGGGTGGAAACTAATCAAGGAGAGAAGCAACCTAGAACTAAGGAGAAATTTCTTGACAGAACAATTAATCAGTGGGACAACTTGCCTCCAGAAGTTGTGAATGCTCCATGGCATAGGACCTAGATATCTTCGAGACCGCCTGCTGCTACCGTTGGCCTCCCATCGACCTGTGCGCTCCCACAGAGAGGGCCTCCTCGGGGTGCCATCAGCCAAACAATGTAGGCTGGTGACCCCCAGGGGGAAGGCCTTCTCTGTGGGGGCACCTACCCTCTGGAACCAACTGCCCCCAGAGATAAGGAGAATCCAAGACCTCGGTGCCTTCCGCCGTGCCCTTAAAACCTTTTTTCAGCAAGCCGGGCTGGCTTAACTTTTTTTCTTAATTTTTTAAGTGTTTTAAATGGGTTTGTTATTGTTCTTAAATTACGGGGCCAAATTTATATATTTTCTTTTAATACTATTTTAATGTTTGTAATTTATGTTTTTATTCGGCTGTACACCGCCCTGAGTCCTCAGGGAGAAGGGCAGTATATAAATTGGAAAATAAATAAACAAACAAATAAATAAATAAATAAATAAATAAATAAATAAATAAATAACCATTTGTCTGAAGTAATGTAGGGTTTCCTACCTAGGCAGGGGATTGGACTAGAAGACCTCCACGGTCCTTTCCAACTCTGTTCTTTTCTTTTTTCTTTTCTTTTCTTTTCTTTTCTTTTCTTTTCTTTTCTTTTCTTTTCTTTTCTTTTCTTTTCTTTTCTATTCTATTCTATTCTATTCTATTCTATTCTATTCTATTCATAAAAGACTTCAGGTCTCACGATGAGCCCTATATACAACATACATAATGATTACAGTAGTGGCCAAAATTGTGGAAACCTTTTGGGAAAAGTGTATTTTCTAAAACGAACTAATAACACCATTTTTTTTGGGAGTAGTAGTACCCTAAAGTTATATATTTATTTATTTTATTTATTTTATCAAATTTATATGCCGCCCTTCTCCCGTAGGACTCGGGGTGGCTCACAGAATAATAACAATAGAATAATACTAAAACAAGCCAATTTAAAATCCCCAATTAAAACCTCACGGTAGATCAGGGAATTTGCTGAAAAAGCCATGTCTTCAGGTCAGTGCAGAAAGTGCAGAGGTCGGGGGCTGTCCGGAGCCTGGTGGGTAACCCATTCCAGAGGGTTGGTGCGACCACAGAGAATGCCCTCATCCTGGAGGCCAACAGCCGACATTGTCTGGCCGACAGCACCCGGAGGAGGGCAGTCCTATGTGAGCGCACTGGGCGGTGGGAGGCCGGTAGGAGGTGGTCTTGCAAGTACCCTGGGCCCATGCCATGAAGGGCTTTATAGGTGAGTACCAGCACCTGGTCAATGGAATATCAATGGAAAGATAATTTAATCAAGAATGTAATGCAATAACTTTTATGAAGGATTTACTATTAGAATAGCAGTTACAGTATAAAGAAGAAAAGTGAAACACGTAGAAAAAACGAGATATACAAAAATTATCACATCAGTTAATACTTAGTTGGGTAACCTTTAGCATGAATTACGGCCTTACAATGCCTTCCCATGGAGTGAACCAAGTCTTTTAGTTCTGCAGCTGTTATAAGATTGAATGATTACTTCTATTAACTGGGTTTTATTGCTGGGTCGCTTCTGACTAACAAGTTTCTTTAGTCGGCTCCTTAGATTTTCAACTGTGTTAAGGTCTGGGCTATTCCCAGGCCATTCCAGCAGTGGAATATGATTATCTTGAAACTCACCTCCCAAAAAAGTGAATTCGACACCCCTGGTCTAAGTAGTTACAGCATCAGGAGACTTGCGATTTCTACTCCTGCCTTCGGGATGAAAGATGTCTGAATGACTTTGGTCCAGTCACTCTCTCAACCCAATTCACCCCACAGGACTGTTGTGAGGAAAATGGAGGAGGAAGGAATTTAGGTATGTCCACCGCTAATAAAGGCAAGATTAAAAAAAAATTAACTGGAGAACAGGTACAACACCCTTTTTAGATGCAGAAATAACCTACCACTCTTGGCTTGCTGAAAGTAAATTGCATCACTTTACCTGAACTTTATCTGGAGTAATAATGGATGGCGATGGTGTGTTCCCTCAGAGAAAATGGTTATGTCTTGTTGTTTTTGGTTGTTATCCGAGGCAAATGTAAATCTCTGTGTTTGAAACGCAAAGGAAAAGCTTGTACTATCTCTTTATTCAGAGATACGTTTATTAGCCTTTTGACTTCTCTGCTGTCCAGTGAAGCCACTGTCTCTTTAAAGGCATTGTAAAAAGAAGCCAGGAAAAAAAGATAACGAGAGCCAACACCACCATTAAAAAAATATTCCTCTTTATTTGCAAATATACTGCACAATTACAGTTTTATACATTTTTAGTACTTCATATAATTAGTATAAATAATAATGTATTACATATGTTTCTACATGTGCACAAAGACACAATACTTGGTTCCTTTGGTTTGCTATAAAACGTCTCAAAAATGATAGCATATAATCCTAGAAATTTATGGTCAATTAAGTTTGTTTTGCTCTAGAATCATTCTTTCATTAACATGAGGATTCTGTGGGAGAATTTATTCATCAGATTATAGGCAGAGATCGCCTTAAAATCTGAAGAGATTACTCAAATGGAAACTATTACTTTGTCCTCTTCTTTCACTACTAATACTTAACTTGTGGCAGATGCCCATTGCTTTGAAATGATCAATTGATTAATCAGTAAAGTTATACTTAAGTGTCTGCTTCTAATTACCCATATTTGTATTCTGTGCCAAATAACGAAATACCAAGCCAAAAAACCTTTAATGTTTGTACTTGGAGAAATACTAGATTTCATTTTCTTGTGGGAAACAACCATGTGTAAAATGTGAGGCTGTGATCCTACAGGTAGTCCTTGACTTGCAACTATGGTATTTGCCTAGCGACCGTTCAAAGTTATAGCAGCATTGAAACAAAATGGCTTACAACCAGTCCTCGCACTTACAGCCATCCTCATGGTCATGTGATCAAAATTCAGGCACTTGGCAAACGGCATGTATTTATAACGGTTGCTGCATCCCCAGGTCTTGTGATTGCCATTTGTGACCTTCCCAACCCAGCTTCTGACAAGCAAACTCCATGGGGGAAGCTGGATTTGTGCCAAACAAGGTCATAAAATCAGATGCAGCTCATTTAGCAACCACCTTGCTTGCAACGGAAAATTCTGGTTCCCGCTGTAGTCATAAGTCGTGGACTACCTGTATTTACCGGAATTGGACAGGAGGTGCCTGTGAACTCAGGGAATCTGGGCGAAAGTTTTAGACTTCAGCCATTCATGGGGTGAACCCTTCCATGCAATTATCAGCTTTGAATAGTAATATTTATATTTACAGAGCAATCCTACCCGTGTTTCCCCAAAAATAAGACCAGGTCTTATTTTCTTTTGGGCCCCAAAATAAGCATTAGGGCTTATTTTCAGGGGATGTCTTATTCTTTTTCCAAGTACGGGAGGCCCACTTCTTCTGCTTGTTTGTGGTGAGTCCACATGCTGCGCCAGTGCCACCATAAAGCGGAGTTGGAGCTGCCTCACACGCCCTGCCCCGGTTTACCTCAGGGCCCCCACAGCCAGGCCAGCCACACACTATCTACTTCACCTCGTGGCCGCAGCAACAACACACCACTCAACCTCCTGTTCCATTGTGGCCGCGAGCGAGCAGAAGTGGGTCGAGGGCCACGTGGGCTCCTGCTGCACATGGCTGCGAGGTAGATGTCAGGGTGTGGATGGGCTGCGGCGGCCTTGAGGTAAGCCGGTGCAGGGCACGTAGGGCAGCTCCACACCCCAGCGTAAGTTTGTGGCCACATCACTGAGCAACCAGACAGAATGGGTGGGCAGTGATGCAAGTTCTTAAGTAGGGCTTACTTTTTGGGGGGGCAGTTTATATTAGATGCACATGTTAAAAGCATGCTAGGTCTTATTTTCAGGGACACAGGGTACAAAAGGAAAAGATTGTAACAAAGGAACTGTGTTTTCCAAGCATTACTCGTGTCATTCCAATCAAAGTGCCAAATGGAAAGATGTTATCATATTAATATCCTTTTTGGCTTTTAAAATGTGGTCTCCTTAAAGAAATGAATGATGTCTAATTTTAGAGTATGCCAATGAGCTGAAAAAGTCAGGACTTCTTAAACTCCACGTCTTATCAATTTGTACTGTTGTATTAATTAAGCCATCCTTCCAACAATGCAACCACAGAGCTTTCTGTAAATACACAGGGCTTCTCCAGTGGCAGAAATGTTGAGAGGTTCCCTCTCTTTTTGGGAAGCAAAATTATTTACCATTATTTCCAATGGAATTTGGCCTCAGCATTGCATAAGCATCCTTGGGACAGTGGTTTTAACAAGCATTTACTACCCAGCCACTGTTTTATTGCAGACATGTTAAACTACAGCTTAAAAAGAGAGAGCAAAAATATACCTGTGATTGTCTTGTTATAGTGTTACAAAATAGTTGATTAAATTGGCATTAATAAAATAGCAATGGCATGATTTAAACAGAGCATATGTTTAACCTCTATGGCAACCAAGAGGGCTTGATTTCATAAACACACGTAATCTTTCCATTTCTAATTCTGGCTTATATAATCTTCCCATCAATTGTCCAATACAATTCCAGACGTCTAATTCAATTGGTTCATTATTGTACTGTTGAACTCTTCCTTACAAGAGACCTGCCAGTAGGAAGCAGGAGTGGACAGTGGAGCTCCAGTTAAAGACTTTCCCTCATCAGGTGCCACTAGCAGGAGACACAATGATTAAGATACAAGAGGCAACTGGGAGGGACCCATCTTGCTGCACTATTACAAGAAGAAACACTGAATTAATTACAGATAGACTAAATTGTAAGTTATGAGGTTTGGAAATACTATTTCAGACTGTCCACAATGAGGATATTTTGCAGGTAAATTGTTTAAATCTTATTTTGCATCTGGTTCTATGTTCAGGTGCATACAGCTAAAATAATTTCACTGGTGAAGAAGGAAGAGTCAAATTCAAACAGAAGAAAAAGTGTTGGACAATAAAATATTTATATAACTTTATACATTATCAGTGCATGTTTAAAATAGAGTACAACTTTTTAACAGTGCAATCTACAGACCGTTTCAGCCACAGTACTGTGGCCAACATCCAGGTTTCTTTGCCTGGAGTGTTACACTGATGCATCTGGAGTATCCTTGCCTCTTTCAGAACATTTGCTATTACAGATGTGAGATCGCCCCTATTGTGCTGATATTAATCTATTGCATGATGCAGATAGACCTGATTCGGACAGCTGACCTCCCATGGTCACATGACCACATTTTGGGTATTTGGCAACCGGCCCACATTTACGGCTGTTTGACGTGTCCTATAGAGACATGACCATGATTTATAACATTTTTGCTGAAAACCAATGTTTACTTCTGCTTTGGGATAGAAATGCCCCACAGCTTAACCATCACCTATTCACTGAACGACCATTGCAAAAAAAGATCTTAGAATCTGATTGGTTATGTTTTATGCTTTACGGCTCTCATGACTTACGACCATAATGGGTAGGTTCCCATTATGGTCATAAATTGAGGACTAGCTCTAGTGCCTCAAGCATCAATGAGGGATCGAATGATTGAGTGCTCCAACTAACCAATTCTTGCATATTAAAGGAAACAGCGATACAGAAGCTTTCTTTCGTAGCAGAGCAAGTTTTAGTGGTTTCCAAATAAAAGGAAGATTATTTTTTTCTAGAGAAAACATTCAAATACACAATTTTCAGTGGGACTTTCTAGTTACAAAGACTTCCTCTGGGTGATAATCACTTGTGCTATGCTGAAAGATTTTGCCGCTTTTCTGTTGCTATTAGTTCTCATTCAATTTGATGAAAACCATTTTTTCCCTCCAAGGAAAAAGGAATTTCCAATGAAATTTTTATAAGTAAATTCTTGTAAAATTCATATGTCTACTCCCACAAGAAATAGTAATAGTCATTCTCTTGGGTGTCTTTGAAGGAGTATTAGATAGGTTCGTGGAGGACAGAACCATCAAAGCTATTCATGATGAAGATGCAATGTTACTTAATTGAGGCCAATATGTCTTCAGGGGAAGATTGGTAGAAAAGAGCCTTGGTAGTACAGTGGTCTAAGGCACCCTGTTATTAAGCTGGTTATTAAGACCAGCTGCCTGCAATTACTGCAGGGTTCGAATCTCGCCAAGGCTCAAGGTTGACTCAGCCTTCCATCCTTTCTAAGGTAGGTGAAATGAGGACCCAGTTTGTGGGGGCAATAAGCTGACTTTGTATAAATATACAAAAGGATGAAGGCTATTGCTGAGCACATTGTAAGCCGCCCTGAGTCTTCGGAGAAGGGCGGCATATAAATCAAATTAAAAAAAAAAAAGGCATTTTTCTGTCTCTTCTTTGTGGGCACCTGAGAGGCAACTGATTGGCCATTGTAAGAAAGTTCTGAATTAAGATGACTTTGTCCTGTTCTTCTGATGGGTGTTCCATTGTACAGCCAGCTCTCCAGTTCCTGCTTCCTACACTTTCATTAAATCCAAAGGAAAGGCACTGTAGTGGTACTTCGGTACTTGACTGCTTCAAAACTCATCGAATTTCATTTTCAATACATTTTGATGTGAAAATGTCTCAGTACTCGGCCTTTGTTTAGTCTTTGATGCATGCTATCAGAAGAGGGAGATGACCATGAGAAACAGACAGGAAGTCAGCCATGCTGGGAAGGTCATTGGAGGAGGCAGCCATAGAGGGTGAACAGGAAATTGGCCATGCTGGGAAGGTCACTGACATAGGAAAAGGGAGAGTCAGAAAGTTCTTCCCAAAACAAAGGATCACATTGTAGGTCATGTGGTTTGGGACTCATCCTTTTTAGTACCTGTCGCACCTTCCAGAACGAATTAACGCTGAGTACCAAGGTACCACCGTATGTTAATCCTCTTGTAGGGCTTCTTCAGATTGGGAAGTGTGGGCAGGTAATAAAAGTAAGCTCAAAAGGACCTCAATAAGTTCCCCCAAAAATTCCCAAGCACCCTGAGAGGCAAAAAAGCCAGAAATCTCTTTGACACAGGAAGATACTGAAAGACAAGACTTTGACATAGCATCATGAATAACCTTCCTTGCCTCATTGTTTGTCTGGGCCAAAATGTTTAGGGAAAGGAATGTAGTAACCCTCCTGACACATAGTCTTACAATCCACTTATTTTTTTTCTATTGCTAAGCTGAGGTGCGTGCAAATAAGCTGGCTTAAGTGACCTATGGATCACAACCCAACCCCTTCTCACTCTTTCCAAAGCAGAGGTCCTTTTTTTGTTTTTTAATGATTGCCTTCTTCAGATGTTCTGGAGTCTTCTGGTATAGTCCTCTGTTTATAGTCTTCTCCAGATCCAACGTCCACATCCTGGTAATTAGCAAATTCCTGAGGTAGTGGAAACTCCTCTGCTGATGAATGAGTCCTGTGTCCAAAGATCCTCTCTTGCAGCTCAGCAATGTCATTCCTGATATCTGCCATCATCAACAACAAGAAGTCAAAGGAACCTGGTGGCCCCTAAAAAAAAGGAGAGAGTGGCATTACTTGTCTTTCATTGAAATGGGCACTTCGTCCATTGAATTGGATATTTTCTAGATAAGTTAGCTTCCACTTCCATTAACCCCAGTCATAAACTAGGGCCCAGGTATTTGACTGCCAAGGCTAGTAGCAGAAACAAAGCAATTTTTCAAGACCATCTTATTTTGCCTTAACTATGCTGGAGTAAAAAGCAATTTCCCAAACACTCATCTTAACTAAGGTCAATTTAGCCCAGTTGCTTTTATTTATTAATCAAATTTATGTAGCCTCCCATGTTAACAAAAGCAATTTTGGATGGCACACAACAGTTTCTGCTCTGCTTTTCCCAGAACATAAATCTTTCTCTAGATATTTGAAGTTTAACTTTCACTTAGTACCTCTAAGTATCATTGAAATCAACATACACACTTATTTTTACAACTAAATTAAAAAAATAATAATTCAGATTTAGATCAATCTATACACCATTCAAGAAGTGTTCCAATGCTATCAATTATCCTAAATGTCAATATATTGGCTGCAAAACATGACCACTGTAGGCCCCATATATGCAAGTTTCAACCCGCAAACCTTACTGCTAATTGCAAATGCTAAAAATTGCAAATACAAATCAACCACTCTGTTCTGCCTGAGCAGGGAGTTGGACTAGAAGACCTCCAAGGTCCCTTCCAATTCTATTGTTCTAATTCTAAGTGTGTTAATGCAAAGTTTCTTTAACAAAGAGCAATTTAATTCATATTCAGCACTTTGCAAGTTCTTGCAAGATGGGTAAGTAGGAAATTAAGACAATAAAAGACTAACCATCCTGTCTAACATTTTTCCCTTGTAAAGCCCTTTTTTTACCTATAAGAGAAAGGAAATAAGAACTTTCCTGTGTCCCATTCAGTGACCCAAAAAGATGCTGAATTCTCCTTCATATTTTTTTTTAAAATAGAAGCCTGCTAGCCATTTGTTTTTTTTAAATTCTTGACATTTATCCAGGAAACATTCAAACGCTAAATGTTCTTTATTTTAAAGGAATTTCCCACTTGCAAAGCAACCACAACTGAGGAGCACTTATCCACAGTTTAACGTATATGACAGTCTATTGCATTCTGAAATAAAATTGAAGATATTTTACAAAATCCAACCAAAAGCAATTTTCTTGTACAAAAGATATAAAGGCATAATGGATTTCACTTGGAAGTAATAGCTTCTACTCAACAGCCTGACACATATGAAACAACCTCAGTGCTAACTAGCCAAAGTCATGGAGAACCTACACAATAAATTAAGACTTTCATTCTTTCCAGTGATCAAAAGGTTGTAAGGGATAGGGCAGGGATGGGCTGCTGGGGGTTCGTAGTGGTTCGGGAGAACCTCTAGCTAAGATTCTGTGCAGGTCGGAGAACCCCCAAATCCAACTCCTGGCTGGCCTCTCCCACCCCTCCCCTCCCACCCCACCTCTCCCCTCCCAGGAGTCCCCATGCGGCCTGTTTTGGATGCAGGTAAGTGCAGGACATGCACGGAGGCTCGGGGAGGGCGAAAAATGGGCCTACCGGATGTTCAGGAAGGCCAGAAACAGGCCCAGAGTGCTTCTGGAGCCTGGGGAGGCTGTTTTCTCCCTCCTGGAGGCTCGAAGAAAACCTCCGGAGCCTGAGGAGGGCAAAAATGTGCCCCCCGCCATTGTGCAGGAGGCCGACTACCACCATGGCCACACCCACCCAGCAACCGGGCAGAGAATTCCTTGCTAAAATTTGTGAAGCCCACCCCTGGGATAAGGGCAAGATTACTTTAAAAATATGAAATGCATAGGGGTGGATACACTAGCATTGTAAATATTATTTATGTACAGGAGCATAGAGCTTTCTCCTATTTTTTTCACAACAACAATCCTGTAATTTCTTGAAGTGCAAGAAAGAGATTTGCTCAATGCCATCCTGTATGATTGTATAGCTGAGGATGGACTACAACGTTGTCTTCCCCATTTAACCACTCTAACCAATGTACCACTTTGCTAGTTACTCAAACAAGTGTGTTTCCCTCCTCCCCCAAAGGTTTAGTAAGGTAACCACAAGGTGACATCATCTTTGGAGCATCATGTAGATTGGATTAGATTGGCCCAGAATCTTACTTGTGTTCTAGAAAGTACTAAAAACTTTGTTTTATCATCATGCTGGGGATCGGGCTGTGATGTGACATCTTCATGATTGTTGTATTGTTTGGGGATGTATGGATGGGTGTATTGATTGTGAATGCCTTGGATATTGTTTTTAAGGGTTTTTAAAATTCGGTTTTAATATGGTTTTATGATTAGTTGTATTTTGTGACTACGTTTTTTGAGCCACCCAAAGTTATGTATGTTAGATGGGCAGCTATATAAATTGAATGAATGAACAAACAGCCTTTTACATCTGCTTTATTACAATATTATAAGAGGGATATTCCTTTAAAACTTGAGTTGTCAAACTCAAGGCCCGCGGGCTGGATCAGGCCCGCAGAGTGCTTAGATCTGGCTCATAGGGCCACCCTGGAAACAGTGAAGGACTGGCCGCCAGTGAAAACAGAGCTCGGGAGGGTCGTGTGTGGCCCGCCCGAGCTCCATTTTTGCTGGCAGAGGGTTGCTCAGGAACCCAGAGTGCTTGGGCCACCACAGGTGCCCTGACAAGAGTGACATCAATCTGGCAACGCCCATCCTGGCCCCGCCTACCCTGGCCCACCCAGGGTCAAACCTAACCCTGATGCAGCTCTCAATGAAATCGAGTTTGACACCGCTCCTTTAAAATGAAGAATATTTGGTATTTAAATACAATACTTCCTGGCTAATGTATGAACAGATTATATTTCCATTGAGATTAGATTTGGGTGTGATACTTACAGGTGGGCCCTTTTCTCCTGGTGCACCTCTTTCACCCTGCAACAAACATAATTTTGGTTAAGTGGCCTTGACTGAAACTGAACAAGAACCTGTTGATCTAAAATGAAAATTCCAAACAATGCTAGTCACACACTTAAAACTGTCTGCTTAAAATTCTATGAATATCAACTTAGAAGACAGAGTTCAGTGGGACTAACTTATAGTAAAATGTAGATGAGATTGCAGCCTTTAGTTTAATTCATCTTATCTTAACTAGATTAATGAATTATTTTATAGCAAAATTGGTAATTGATTACCTACCAAAGATAATGCTTGCAGCATTTTCTAAGTATGTACCATGAGAACAAAGATTTATTTGTTAGATTCACAATCATTCATATCCAAAGGATAATCACTGAAATTAAAGGGACTTATTAGTTGTGACTAACTTAATTTCCTATTGATTGCAGTGGATGTATTCTAAGCATACCAAAGTTGTGATCCAAGGCAACAGAAACTTAAACTACTTATACACTCTTAATTTTATTTATTACTAAGCATAACATGCCCAACCACAACATTTATTCTGAAATCATTCAGATCAACAAGTTGCATCCTACACAGAGAAGCTCCCTTCAAAACTTAAAAGATTATTTACACATTTGTTTATTCCCTGTGTGGAACTGCCTAACTGAAATGACTCAAGGCAAAACAACACAGGACAAATGTAGTAATTACAGTAGGTTGTGCAATACATAAACATTCAAGTTCTTAATGGTTTTCTGAAAGTCAGCAAAAAATACACAACAGGATACAATCTATGATAAATCATAGAGTAATAAAGAGTGATTACTGCATCAAAATACTTTTTTGATGTCTCAAGTTGCAATTTCAGTGAAACGTTTCTGTAAGTTTGTGGGTTAATGTCTATGTGAGTTAATTCTAAGTTGGTTACTTGGATAAATAATGGAAAGCAAACCAAGAAACAGAAATGCATTGGAAGTGGGAGTAGATGGAATCAAAGTTGCCTACCTTTTTATTCACTTTCTCCCTTTCCATTTTCCAAAATTAAGAAAACTGAACGTGAATAATATAAAAGAGAAGGACTCTCACAAGGAAGAAGAAAGGAGAAAAAGGAAGAAGAGGACAAGAAATTATACTTCTAACCTTTGCTCCATCTCTTCCTGGTGCACCTGGAGGACCCTAGAAGATAAATTTGCATTCCTCAAAAACTTGGTGTCAAATATGATCAAGAGATTATTATACACACTTATGAATGGAGACATCATACTGACCACAGGCCCTCTTCTGCCCTGCTTAATGTGTGAGAGGTCTGGAGATGGTCCCATCGGCCCCATGGCTCCTCTAGGGCCTGGCACCCCGGGAGGACCAGGGGAACCAGGAAATCCAGGGCTCCCTTTTGGACCTGCAACCCCTGGAACAAAAACATGGCAGTAAAATTAAGGCTGCGGGTAGCTTCGTTGGACAATTTTGCATAAAAAAGGATATTTATGATTTTTCTAAGTCAAAAATTGGAAGTCGTTTTTAGGGCTGTTGACAAAGTTTTTTTAAAAAAATTACAAATAAATCAGCCATGGGGGAAGAAAAAAACCTAGCAAGTAAATAAAAAAGGAGTCAACAGCAATTAAAAGTATTCCAGAAGTGCTTTAAAAGCCAAGGGGAGCTAACTTTTTTGTTAGTGCCAAGAAAATCAGGATGTACGGTATTTCAATTACTGTTATATAACTTGATGAATTAGAAGTCTAGGATGCAATCTTATATTAAAAAGAAGAGAAATTCAAATAATGCATAACTTTGAGCAGCAATTACTTGTCCAAGACACTGTCAGACATCAAGCACAGAATGCTCATCTATTGGTAAGTAGAAGCAAAAGACCAGTCTGGCTGTGAAAATTCTTCCTTTAGGCCAAAGGTCTTCAAACTTGGCAGCTTTAAGACTTGTGGACTTCAACTCCCAGGAATTCTCCAGCCAGCTATGCTGGGAGTTGAAGTCCACAAGTCTTAAAGCTGCCAAGTTTGAAGACCTCTGCTTTAGGTTAAAGAAAAAGGCAGGGAGGTGGCCCATAAAAGATGTTTTGAATTCCCAGTGTGGAAAATGAACTTTGAGGAAAAATTGCTTCCATGTTAACATCTCGCTTTCCAGATCAAAGTCCACTAGTACAAACCGAGAGCTTTTTGCTTTGACACTGACAATAGTTGCCATGTTCAAAATTAACATAGTTCACACCATTATATTGTGACCTTAATATTCAAAGTTTGGTTGAATGTAGCCTTATGTCTAAATAATCGCAAATATTACATATTTAATTTTTTCCCCTGACTGTAATTGTCACAATCTCCTTCAGGTCCTGCTGTGCTACCACACACATCGTGGTGCTTGGCTATTCCTGGGAAGGATGAGCAAAGAATGTTGGGAATATATGCCAAGAGGGTATATTCACCCGACTGCCCAGCCAAGTACAGTTAGTCCTCGACTTATGACCACAATAGGGACCAGAATTTCCATAGTAAGTTGTTGCAATTATTAAATCAAAATTTAGTATAAAATATTAAGTATAAAGGCAACCAAACTAATGACAGCAGATAGAGGAACCAGCCTTGTGGTGCAGATAGAGTTAGGGTTAGGGTGGCGCAGTGGTTAGAATACAGTATTGCAGGCTAATTCTGTTGACTGCCAACTGCCTGCAGTTTGACAGTTCGATCCTCACTGGCTCAAGGTCAACTCAGCCTTCCATCCTTCTGAAGTCAGTAAAATGGAGGAGCCAGATTGTTGGGGGCAATAGGCTGACTCTGTAAACTGCTTAGAGAGGGATGTAAAGCACTATGAAGTGGTATTTAAGTCCAAGTGCTAATGCTATGGCTTGCAGCTGACAATGAAGATACTGAAGTGATGAATAGCTTTTGCCCTTTAGGATCAACAATAAAGGAACAAGCAATCTTGTAATCCACCACAGGTGGATTTTGTAAAGCAGCGATGAAGGCTTTGGATAATGATTCAAATAGTGTGATGCAGGGGTGAAATGCTCCCGGTTCGGATTGGATCGCCTGATCCAGTAGCGATGGGGTGGGTGGTTTGGAGAACCGGTAGCAAAAATCCCTGCCCGCCCCATTGCCCAGCAATCATCAGACAGAGGCTTTTTTTTAATTTTTAAAAGCATTTTTTCTACAACCTCTTTGGCTGAAAAAAATGCTTTTAAAAGTAAAAAAAAAAAAGCCTCTGATGATTGGCGCGGCTCAGCTGGGATCATCAGAGGCTTTTAAAAGTATTTTTTCTACAACCTCTTCGGCTGAAGAGGTTATAGAAAAAATGTTTTTAAAAGGAAAAAAAAGCCTCTGCCGATCAGGCAAGTCAGCTGGGATCGTCAGAGGCTTTAAAAGCATTTTTTTAAACAACCTCTTCAGCTGAAGAGATTTTAGAAAAAATGGTTTTAAAACTAAAAAAAAAAAAAGTTGGCCACACCCACTCAGTCATATTACACCCCCCCCACCAAGCCACACCCACAGAACCGGTAGTAACAAATTTTACATTTTACCACTGGTGTGATGTGTCTGTATTTGCAAAGATGCAACCTGTGACACTCTATGGCAGAGGTCTTCAAACTTGGCAGCTTTAAGACTTGTGGACTTCAACTTTTAGAATTCTCCAGCCAGCTATGCTGGCTGGAGAATTCTGAAGTTGAAGTCCACAAGTCTTAAAGCTGCCAAGTTTGAAGACCTCTGCTCTATGGACACAGAAGTTGGACTTTAAAAAAGAGGACAGGAGAAGATTCCAGAGTATAGTCTGAAAACCAAGAAAACAAACCAATGGATTATCCCACAAATCAACCCAGAATTCTTACTTGAGGTACAAGCAACCACGTTCAAATTGTCCTAGATTGCCATTGAGCAAATCTCTCTATGTGACCACTGGGAGACGAAAATGATTTGATGGTACATAATCAACTTATCACGGTACAGTACAAAAAAATAGAAGAAGTTTGTTTTTGTAATTTTAATGCGTTAGTCAGCTTTTAGTATTGATTGTTGCATGCTATTCAAAGTCACTTCATATGAGACAGGCAATTATAGAAATTTAATACATAAATAAAATATTGCTGTAATACAAAGTATAAATACGAGACTGTTATAGAGTCAGCAATCCATAATGCAATTCATTAGCAAAAGAATAGATTGCACATTCTACCACAAATACATAACATTAATATGAACTGGAGTTGCAGTTCCAAAATATCAGATTTGGGGTGGGCTATCCATTAAAAAAATATAACCATTTATATAATAATTTAATGGTCACTTAAATACATTGAAATAAAAATGCAAGTATAAAAGGCTTCCAGGCTGAGGTTTTCATGGAAAACTCTCAGTCTGTTTCTAATTTCTTTGCCATTCCCAAGCTTGAGTTTTACTAATCATGCAAAAATAGCACAACTTGGGAGTGGATGGTTTTTCAGTTAGGAGAGAGAAGTGAAGTTTACAGCACCTTGGACAGCTCATAAGATGAGGAAATCATTAGATGGAGCAAAACTGACTAAATGACCCTAACAATATCTTAAGAAAAATTAATGTCTGCTCCTGAGCCATGTTTCTTGTCTGAGGAGTGATACACAGATGCAATATATACAAATTTATTTTTATGATATTTTTTATTGCCTTACCTGGAGGACCCCGATCCCCTGGCTGTCCAGGAGGGCCAGGTACATAAGCATTGGATGCAAGTACTTTTTCTCCTGTGATTGGTTTGTTAAGGTCAACAGCGTTATTTGGTAGCCAAGCAACCTGCAATAAAAGAAGAGTCATAGGCTAGAAGCCACTTGCCTGTTCAACTTCATCTAGTTGAGTGACTGACTTCATCAGTTGTAAAAGTTCTTCACCTCAATGCAGGACTTAACTACCATGTCCATAACTCTAAGTTTGGAAGCCTCAAAGTGATAGAGTGGATAGCATGCCAGGCTGCGATAGGAAGCACCATCTGTTTCCCAGCCTTCCTCCTTTTACTGAATAAAATGAGATAGCCTCCATATTTACTGTCTTGCATAACTTGAAGGTATCATGTAAATGTAATTAAAAAACCAACACAATTAATAGCCTACATTTACTACGTTCAGATTCAAATTGCAGCTGAGGACCAAAGTCAGAAGAGTAGATTTGATTTCTGCCATGTAGCTTAGCATAGTATAGCTCTTCCCTCAACCCCACACCCCGAAAACTCTGCTACATGGGAGGCCTCAGCTAGACTACTACTTTATCTTGAAACTAGAGAACGCTGGCACTATTATGATCACAGTCAGAACTGTGATCTAACTGTTTGCAAAGGGGACAAAATGGTTGATGTCAAGTCTGACATTTGTTGATGGGTTAAATTTGTTGATGGATCTGAATGCCGGGGGGAAAAAAGGAGGATTTAGAACGAAGGGTAAAATCTGATTCAGGTGCTGCCTCATACCCACATTGTGTATACAAGCAGTTTGTTAGGATCTACAGCTATGGTTCAGGGGATGTGGTGGCTCAGTGGCTAAGAAGCTGAACGTGTTGATCAGAAGGCCGGCAGTTCAGCGGTTCAAATCCCTAGCGCTGTGTAATGGGGTGAGCTCCCGTTACTTGTCCCAGCTTCTGCCAACCTAGCAGTTCGAAAGCACGTAAAAAATGTAAGTAGAAAAATAGGGACCACCTTTGGTGGGAAGGTAACAGTGCTCTGTGCGCCTTCGGCATTTAGTCAAGCCAGCCACATGTCCATGGAGATGTCTTCAGACAGCGCTGGCTCTTTGGCTTTGAAACAGAGATAAGCACCGCCCCCTTTACCTTTACCTTACAGTTATGGTATTACCCAAGTCTCTCATCAGGACTAAAAGCAGTGGTGAAATCTAAAATTTGTTACTACCCGTTCTGTGGGTGTAGCTTGGTGGTGGTGGGGTAATGTAACTGGGTGGGCATGGCCAATTTTTTTTTTACTTTTAAAACCATTTTTTACATGTAAAACCATGTAAAAAAATGCTTTCAAAAAGCTCTGACGATCCCAGCTGAGTTGCCTGATCGTCAGAGGGTTTTTAAAAAACCCTCTGATGATCAGGCAACTCAGTTGGGATCGTCAGAGCTTGGCTCGTCAGAGGCATTTAAAAGAAAAAAAGCCTCTGATCATCATGCGGCTCAGCTGGGCATGGGGGGCGGGGGCAGGGATTTTTGCTACCGGTTCTCTGAACTGCCCGCCGCCGCCACTACCTACTCGCCCGAGCCGGTCCGAACCGGGAGCATTTCACCCCTGACTAAAAGCCCAATACCCTGCAAATATTCTGAAAGACCACATCCACAGTTCTTTAACATTGGTGATATGGGCTGGATACTGAGATCTGAAGTTAGATGCCTGCTTGCACTGCTTGATGAAGGACTCATGATTGTTCTTGGAACAACCTCCATTCAAGAACTGTGATCTATTGATGAGCCAAAGAAGGGTTTTCACTTCTAGAAATCAGACTTTGTACATTGAGAAAACTGTTTCTTTCTCAGATAGGAAGGTGAAGTATTTTAATTGTGTATCTAAGATAGCGTTAAATATTTCTATTAAAGAGGCCAGCTTGCTATGACAACCTGATTTTGAAGTCCAGATCACATGGGTTGGTTCTCCCACTTGCCAATGTGCTCACTTCCCACTCTCTCCTGGAAGAACCCCTGACTTCTTCTGGATTTCAACACTTGTCTGCTTTTGATGTGGAGCCTTCTTATTGCCCTCACCAGATGCTAACACACACTGAACTCATTTCTATTCCATTCCACTGTCTTGATTCAGTCTTGGAATCGCAAGTTGAGAATGACCTCAGCCTTACTTCATGCACGAATCTTTCCCCACAAGAATGTAAATACTTGTACAGAACCCTATCCAGAGGGGCAACAGTCACGGAGACGAAGTCTAACCCTTGCTGAAACCTACATGTTATGTTGTAATTTTGAAGAGGTTCCATGCAGAAATAATTGCCAACTTGGCTTGGAGATGGACTGGCTAGGTCCAGTCTAGGACTTTCTTCTAATTAAATGCATACTTGCTCGTATCTGAGTAAGCACATATGCATACAGAGTATTTGCACACATGGGACTGTTTGTATGCTTAGACGGTCTGTGATTTATTTCCTTTGGCAAAAGCATTCTGACTAGTTTTGCAATTCTGTCAAGGGGATAGAGTAGAAGATTAAACCAGAAATTTCTGAAAAATGTCTACGTCCAGGAAAGCTTTTCTGGCATGGCTGCCCCAAATCCCAACCAATGCAGAGAATTCCAGAGGATAATTTAGGATCAATTCATGCACGATGTTCTTTGAATTTTGCCATCACATACTGTAAATTCAGATTGCAATTTAGAAAGCGCGTCCAATATTAGGTTTGGTAAAAAAATGTCTATCATTGCTGCCTTCCACGACTGGAATTTATAATAACCTTAAGTTATTATGATAAACCACCAGAACAATCTTATCACTAATTGAGCCAATGTTTCATTTTACCACCTGAGGGATTGCTCGATGCAATTTTCTCTCTCACCCAATAATGTCCTGGAGGCACCACTGAAATGCTGCTTTCACACATTTTGTGAGGTTTGTCATGCTTGTCATGTTTTTTCCCAGAATGCCCCACAATAAGCATCTTAGGAATTTGGGGGGAAAGTGAAATGAAGGGGTAAAACTCTCAAAACTTTCTTTGTGAATTCACTATCTGCAATTTGCGTTCAGTCTCAATCTCTTTTTGCCTGTAATGGCATGTGGGAATGACCCTAGGAAACAGGCGAAAGAGCCACAGTCCAGACCAGGGGTCTCCAACCTTGGCAACTGTAAGCCTGGTGGACTTCAACTCTCAGAATTCCCCAGCCAGCTGGCTGGGGAATTCTGGGAGTTGAAATCTGCCAGGCTTACAGTTGCCAAGGTTGGAGACCCCTGGTCCAGACAACTGTCTGATAAATGAAATTTGGATCTGAAAGGTGGTAAAAACATCTCTCAGAAGGGATCCTCCCTAATTTTTGAGAGAGTAAAAATAAAGTATGAGACTTGCAAGATTCTGTTAATTTAATCTTACCATAAAGACAGAGCTAGTAATCCTGGTTGCACAGGTAGTCCTCAACTTACAACAGTTCATTGAGTGATGGTTCAAAGTTACAATGATTTTTGAAAAAAGTGACTTATGACCATTTTTCACACTTGCAACCTTTGCAGCAGCCCCTGTGATCATGTGATCAAAATTCAGAGGCTTGGCAACTGGATCATATTAATAACCGTTGCTGTGTCCCAAGGTCACGTGATCAACTTTTGGCGACCTTCTGGCAAGCAAAGTCAATGGGAAAGCCAGATTCACTTAAGAACCATGTTACTCACTTATCTGCTGCAGCGATCCACTTAACAACGGTGGCAAGAAAGGTCATAAAATGAGACAAAACTCACTTCACGTAACAACAGAAATTCGGGGCTCAATTGTGGTCATAAATTGAGGACTACCTGTACTTCTTGCCTGGTCTACCTTGCCAGACTAACATCGCCACTTGTCGCTAAATGCCATGCTCGGAGTTTTAATTTTCAGACTTTCAGCTTATATTATGGTTGTTCAAAGTAATATTTCCCTGCAAGAGATAAATGTCAATACATTCTTATTTATTTTTGTATTTTTGTCCCATTTTTTCCTCTTGGAAGTTCAGGCAACACAGAGGGTGGGAAACGCCTCTGATGTTTCCATAAGAATGTTGCGTGAATTAATTGGGCTCAGAGAGAATGGCTGGCTTATAATCAGGAGATGCTTGAACATGTGCTGCCTCAGTCCAAGGAAGATCAACACTAACTCTCCATTCTGCCCATTCCTTAGCAAAAACTCATTGCATCCTTCAGGTCCCATATACTATATTTTTCAGAGTATAAGACGCACCGTTTTCACGCCAAAAAGAGGGTGAAAATCTGGGTGTGTTTTATACTCCGAATGTAGCTCTGCCCAGCTTCTCAAACGGAGGTTTCAGAGGCTGAAAAAAGCATCAGAAACGAAGCTTCAGGAAAAGAAGCCCCCAAACAGAGCTTCTGAGGCTTTTTTTCTGAAGCTCTGTTTCGGAGGCTTTCAGAGGCAGGAAAAGAAGCTTTTTCTGAAACGGAGTTTCAGAAGTTTCAGAGGCAGAAAAATAAATAAATAAATTAATTAAAAAAACCCAAGGCACAGAGCTCACAACCAAGGAACCTGTTGCTAAAATTCACCTCTGGGAACAGCTGATTGGGGGTATTCCAGTAGGCCGATCTACCCACCAATCAGTTTTTTTCTTATTTTCCTCCCCAAAAACCAAGGTGTGTCTTATATTCTGAAAAATATGGTAGATTTTCTTCATGGGAGAAAGGACCAAGCTTCAGTACAGAAATATGTTTGTATAAGGCCACTGTGCTTTTTCCCTGCAACAGCATGGGAAATGGTTTAGAGATCATGATAAACACTCCCATTAAAAAAAAAAAAATCAATGATAACAAATCACTTTGACCCAGTGGGGCCCCATGACATGCTCCTTTTAAAGTGGAAAGTATGAGCACACATTTAAGTGACTTTTTAAAAGCAGCCATTCAAATGAAAGAGATCCTTTAAACTATGTACCGGTAGTTCTCCCCCAAACCAGATCAGGTAGGCCATCTGCCTTTTAGAACAGGGGTCTCTAAACTTGGTAACTTTAAAGACTTATGGACTTGCCGCTTGGGGAATTCTGGGAGACGAAGTCCACAAATCTTAAAAGTTGCCAGGTTTGGTGACCCCTGTTTTAGAAAAACGTCAAGTGGAATGGCAATGGATGAGAAATTTCTTAAGAAGAATTTTCCTGACAGTTACAACAATTAACCAGTGGAACGGCTTGCCTCCAGAAATTGTGGATGCTCCAACACTGGAAGTTTTTAAGAAGATGTTGGACAACCATTTGTCTGAAATGGTATAAGGTTTCCTGCCTGAGCAGAGGGTTGGACTAGAAGATCTCCAAGGTCCCTTCCAACTGTTCTGTTCTGTTCTATTCTATTCTAAAATGGATGATGTATCTCCCAAAAAACATACTGAATATCACAATCTATTCAAGCAATTAAATTCACCTGCCAATTTTCCACCTTATTCAACCCCTGTGATTTCAACGTTGGTGGCAGAAGGGATGTATTTCATAAATGTACCTTTTGTTTCAGCTGCAATACCGTCTGCTTGATCTGGTGGAATTCTCGGCAGGAGGCACAGCAAGCCCCTGGTTTCACCACATTGTCCACCTTCTCCGAAAAGCCTGCTTTAAAAAAAAAAAAGAAAAAAAGAAAGAAAGTGGGAGGGAAGGAGAAGCAAGGCCCAGTATTTCAGTACAACCTTTTTCTTCTTTTCTGAATAGAGATGAGACTAGGAAGAAGACAGAAAAATGGCAAAGGAAGCTGTGCACAGAGGTACTTTTTAAAAAGTTCCTTCTTGATCATTCCGTGAGAAGAAGAGGTGCCCTCTGTTTTAACAGCTTTTCCTGTGGATACTCACAAATGCCTGGAGAGCTGCAAAAAAGTCTTAGCAGCAGCTGTTTCCAGTTAGCAGCTCTTAATGCCTCTTAGAAAACTTCTTTTATATCTTAAGAGAAGGGGTGGGGGGGAAGGGTGTACTACTCCACATTTATCTAAGTCTTTATTGTAAAAACGTAAAATGTAAAAGACCCACAATGATTTATCAGCTCCCATTAAGAGGGCAAATTTCAGACCCCATAAATTGTGACACAGTAACCTGTGCAAAGAGAATTGCCTGAAGTTTGCACAAATGCAAACCTTATTGTCCCTAATGTGCAAATGAGACTCCTGGAGTAGAGATACAGGGCAACAGTTGAGAGCAAAAAGGGAATTCTACAATCGATCTGACATTATGTTATATTATGTTATTTATTCTATTTTATTTATTTATTTTGTCACACATGTATAAGATAACAGATATAAGTATAAACATGGTTATGAATACATGAAATGGATACGAATAAAAGGGAACATTAGGACAGGAACGGTAGGCACGTTGGTGCGCTTATGCACGCCCCTTACAGACCTCTTAGGAATGGGGTGAGGTCGACAGTAGACAATCTAAGGTTAAAGTTATGGGGGTTTGGGGAAGAGACCACAGAGTCAGGTAGTGCATTCCAGGCATTGACCACTCTGTTGCTGAAGTCATATTTTCTCCAATCGAGCTTGGAGGGGTTTACCTTGAGTTTATATCTATTACGTGCTCATGTATTGTTGCGGTTGAAGCTGAAGTAGTCATTGAAAGGTAGGACGTTGTAGCAGATAATTTTATGTACTACGCTTAGGTCAGACCGAAGGCGGCGTAGTTTTAAGTTGTCTAAGCCCAAAATTTCAAGCCTGGTGGTATAAGGTATTCTGCTGCAAGCAGAGGAGTGGGAATATTCTCGTGAAATATCTCTGGACTCTCTCAATTATCAATATGATTATCAATAATTATCAATATGTATCAAGTCCTTTCTAATGTGGAAAAAATAGAGTAAGCACTTTCTGTTCTAAAAGAGTACATTTTTGTTCTGCCCCTTCCCCCTATAACTGATGCATCTTCAGCAATTGTGCTAAACGATTTACAATTTTGTTTAAATGATTCGGCACCACTGTGTCATGCCCAGAAAGTTATGTTTAAGATTTCACAAGCTTTACAAATAAATAAATAAATATAAGGATTCAATAGAAAATGAATTAAAGCTTTTTCTTTCTATTTGGAGAATCAAGAAAATAAGCTACTTCCTGAGTCTTTCCAGTATGAAGAAATTTATTATTATTGATAGTATGAAAAATGGTAAAATATCAAGGCTTCATGGTTTTCTTACAGAATGATATAAAAATGCTTAAACTTTCCCCCCCCAAAATGTCTGAATTTGATACATCATTGGCTTTTCTTAATAATTTTTACATGGTAATGTTACCAAATCAGATAAAAATAAAACTTTTTGTCCTAAAAGAGCAAGTTTTTGTTCTGCCCCGTCCTCCCAGTACTTATGCATCTTCAGCAATTGTGCTAATTACTATCTGTTTGGATGCATTCTAAAAGGTAAAGGTAAAGATTTCCCTTGCACATATGTGCTAGATGTTTCCGACTCTAGGGGGCGGTGCTCATCTCCGTTTCAAAGCCGAAGAGCCAGCGCTGTCCGAAGACGTCCCTGTGGTCATGTGGCCGACATGACTAAACGCCAAAGGCGCACGGAACGCTGTTACCTTCCAGTTCAGTGACGTCATATCGTCACCACTACCAGCTCGGCGGAACCGGAAGGAACCGGGAGGAACCCACCACTGATGTGAACTATTAACTATTGACAACTTCTGCTTATTTTGCATCCAGTGACAAAAAAAGTGAATATAAACCCCATAAATGAACAAGTCATTTACATATTTTGTTTTTAAAAAAATCATGACAGGGTAGGAGGGAAAAGGAAATCTTATCTCTGATGGTTCGAACTCTTGCTTCACTTCTTACCTTTTCCAACCCAGAATTGCTTTTATGCTTTAAAGTCAGTTTCCTTAAATTGAAAGGATTAGAAACTTGATTTTTAGAAAAGATAAAGGCTGAGATTTTACAGATGTTGAGTTCTGGCTCCATGATCAAGGTATTTAAAATAATAGTTTGTGAATGAAGTAATGGAAAATATACAGTCTTCTTATGTAGGCTCAATATAAGATGCAGATAGATCCTTCAATCGATTTCAGGCAAGCTACTCTCTCCAATAACCTTGAGTTAATGGCATCTTAATTCCAACTAAGTGTGAATACCTGGGAATCTGGAAGTTATAATGAGCTGTGGTGGCACAGTGGTGAGAATGCAGTATTACAGGCTAATTCACCGCTCACTGCCAGCAGTTCAATTCTCACTGGCTCAAGGTTGACTCAACCTTCCATTCTTCTGAGATCAGTAAAACGAGGACCCAGATTGTAGGGTTAGGGTTATGCTGACACTTTAAATCACTCAGGATAGTGCTGTAAAGCACTATGGAGCAGTATATAAGTTTAAGTGCTATTGCTATAAGCCCAGCACATTTAGAAGGTACCAGTTGAAGAGACAGGACTGTAGGACTACAGGTATTCATTGTCCTCTCCAAAATGATTTCCTAGAGAGATAGGCTATTGACCAACATAACCAACCTATTTCTAAACTTCCATGCATAATGATGATTTGCAGAATCTCAGTAAAACTGAGCACTGAGATTTTAGGGATACTTAATTCCACAGCACATTTTATAGAAGAGTGAAAAAGAATTATAGAGTAGCTTTTTAACTTTTAAAATATGCCATCTCTAATGTGATAACTACAAGTATGATTCTGACAATATAAAAAACTATTATTATAGATCAGCAAAGTTGTTTTCTCTTCTTTTCCTGAAAGCAAAGTTTCTGCTCAGAGAATAGAATAGACTAGACTAGAACAGAACAGAACAGATCTTACTGGGGAAATATTTCTATTTAATGGTTCCTCTTTAGCATGCCATATTCTTTTCTTCAAGGAATACTGGGTGTTTCGCTATATGTTAACCATTAGTTTGAGTTTGTATGACATGCTAGTGTAGAGTTAGGAAGACTTAATAGCAAAAAAGAATCACAGTTTGTTAGTTATGTTGTTTTATCCACAATCTTATCTGTGGGTTGGTTTGGATGATACAGTAAATATACTGTAGTAAGTCAAACTAACATGACTTAATGGGTAAATACTATCTGCAGTGCTGTATATAGCAAAATGTGATGACACCCAAAAGATATGTCCATAGTGGCTAACTATGAAAATACCACCACTGCACATTTGCATCCCAACCTCTGGTTAAATTAAATAAACCATAATACCATATTTGCACAGTGATGTCATCACATGTACTTCATCATCGGTCCTTCTTGTCTCTCCCAAGGGGTGCCCGTGAGAATTTGTGTGATGTCATAAGAAGTTGCATCCTTTGATGTCAACCTGTAGCTCCATTCTAGTTAGGAAGCTGATGAACCAGGTTGCTGAGGCTGCTCAGTGAATTCTGTTTAGTGAAGGGTTAGAAAAATTAACACATCCTAAGCCCTGAAACCTAAATCTTGTCTCATTTATTTTGGCAGTTGCTGCCAGAAAGTAGTCTGTAATGCATTCTTGCTCATGGGAGGTGACTAAATTTGTCATCTGTCTTGGATTAGCTACACTGTGCCTTCATTTGATGATTAGCTGTGCTTTATTGTCTGGGTAATATGGAAGAAGATTCCTCATGTCACAAAGATGTTGCCTCTTGCTTTGCAAAAGTTGAAAATATTTCTGAAGCCCCAAGAGAGGCAAACAGCCTTAATTCTATAAACATGAATTTATTTTAAGTTCTGCCTGAATGGAGTAAGATTGCAATAGGCTCTTAATGGGTTATCAATAATGCAAATTGTTTATAGTTTTCTAAAAGGTAGATACTTAAATCTACCACTAGGTGGTACTCAAAGTAGAGTGTTCCAAACAATAATTATCAACTGGAGGGAACTATATTTTTATACTAACCATGTGCTGGTCTAAAATTCCAGCTACAAACGATTAATAATTTATTGTTTTGTTTTATTCAGTTTATTCCATGTGTGCTGCCTCAACTTATTCCTGGTTTCTAACCCTGATGTGCTTCTACATGAAGCTTTAATGACCAAACTACCTCAGCTCATAGAAGATCCAGATGATGTTCCTTGTCCATTCTCTTCAACCTTTTTTTCTTTCTACCAGATAAATTCCATTAAGGATGAAAAGATGCACTGTGCTGAAAACTACAGGAATTTCATCAGGCTGTACTTAAAATCTTTCCTTCAAGTTGAGAATAGAGAATAGAATAGAATTTTTTTTTAATTGACCAAGTGTGATTGGACACACAAGGAATTTGTCTTGGTGCATATGCTCTCAGTGTACATAAAAGATACGTTCATCAAGAATCATAAGATACAACACTTAATGATAGTCATAGGGTACAAATAAGCAACCAGGAAACAATATCAATATCAATATAAATCGTAAGGATACAAGCAACAAAGTTACAGTCATACAGTCATAAGTGGAAGGAGATGGGTGATGGGAACGATGAGAAGATTAATAGTAGTGCAGATTTAGTAAATAGTTTGACAGTGTTGAGGGAATTATTTGTTTAGCAGGGTGATGGCGTTCGGGAAAAAACTGTTCTTGTGTCTAGTTGTTCTGGTGTGCAGTGCTCTATAGCATCGTTTTGAGGGTAGGAATTGAAACAGTTTATGTCCAGGATACAAGGGGTCTGTAAATATTTTCACAGCCCTCTTTTTGACTCATGCAGTATACAGGTTCTCAATGGAAGGCAGGTTGGTAGCAATTGATAATTGCAATTGATAATTGCAGTTCCAATTATCCTCTGAAGTCTGTGTCTGTCTTGTTGGGTTGCAGAGCCAAACCAGACAGTTATAGAAGTGCAGATGACAGACTCAATAATTCCTCTGTAGCACTGAGGTGGGAACAAAAATCCGGAAATGTTTCAGTTTTGAAGCAGAACTTCAAACAGATCACTGCCCCTCACTGTAGGTTATGCTGACCTGTTCAGCTGCTTACAACTTTGGACCTGAATTGTCTCCGTGTAACTTTTTTGAGAATTTGTCCTTTTTGTTTCATTGGTAATGATATTTAGCCGTCATGCTCCTCCTTAAACTACTTGGTCTGCCTTTGACTTTGGTACTTGAAGAGTAGACTGGACTTGACTTGAAAAATATTGTAGCTTTTTGAATATAAGTTTATTTACATTTGATGATTTACTAAATGGGGTCCTTAGTGCTCTCTGAGCTTGGAGCATCAAGGATCTCACAGTTCAACCCTGAACTATAAATATTCTCTTTGGTTGGTAGTTTACTATGTTTCAGATGAAATGAAGAATACTTTGTGAATGCTGTTTTTTTTAGTATGTTGTTTATTAGCATTCTAAGATACTTCATAGACTGATGTTGTTTGTTTAAAATTAAAGAGAGGTGGTTTAATGTTATTCTTTCTTTACTAAAAGAAAGTTGGGTTTCAAGCTTGGCAATTTTATGACAGGTGGCCTTCAACACTCAGAATTTCTCAGCCATGCTGTCTTTCAGATACCCAATAAAAGGCCTTAACCTGCATTGCTCACCACCTCAAATATCTCTTGTGAGATAGGCAACTACACAAATATGATGAGCAGCAAGAATAATCTATGCTCAGAATTGGAAAAATGACAATATACCATCCGAAGAGAATCTGATTAGAAAAGTTTTGGAATGTGTGGAAATGGATAAATTAACAAAGGAGATACAAGAAAAAGAGGAAACAGAATATTACTTAGTGTGGGAGAAATGGTATGAATGGTAAGAGGAGAGAGATAAAAGGAAAGGAAAAATTAAATAATGGTAGAAATTGGAGTTGAAGTATAATTGTTAATATGAGGAAACAAAAATTGTAGAAATGAAAGTGGGTACACGGGTATTGTTATGTATATATGTAAATAAACAAAGATATAGTAGAAATAAGGGAGGGGAAAAACGTATAACTATGAAATTTTTGTCGGATGCGAAACTGTTGAAACAGAAAAAGTATTAAAGCTTTCCTTTTGTTTGTTTTTAAAAAAATGTTTAATAATTTTTTTAAATAAAATAAAACAAAACAATCAAACAAATGCATAAATAAATAAAAGCTTAACAATTTAAAAATATATATATGCAAAAAACACACCACTTTTAATAGATCTTATTGTTATTTTTCCAACTTTGTTTTTATGGTTTTTTTATATTGTTTCGTTGGCCATCTTGATTGCTCCCCCAACTGGGAGGGGTGGGGTAGGGACCTACCCATCAATCAATGAATCCTTATCATCAGAGGATCTAAGCAGAGCAATAGGATTCTTTATTCGTTGTAATATTTGCTCCTTATTATGATTAGCAGAATCAGAGTAAAGTTTAAAAGGTAAACAAATTAGATGGTAATAGTTCAATGGCAGGACAGCGTGCTTTGCATGTAGAGGTCCCAGTCAGCATAGTTAAAACGATTGTAACATCTAAATTGCAACCAGCATGAATGAAGAATGCTGAATGACACAGGCCCCCTACTTGGACTTTATATGGGCCAATGTTACCTGCATATTCACATGATTTATGTTTTTTAAAATTGTGCATTATTTTCTCTACTTTAGTGAAAGGTTTGTACCATAGAAGGAATAGCAAAGAGACAGTGAATTGTAGCTTTGCAATGAAAATAATCAGCAATTTTCAGAACTGGAAAATTTCAGTATAAGACTTTGGACAGTCAAAAGTTCATCTCCAAAATGTCAACTATAATTTGTTTCTCTTTGATCATGCGACTTGCTAAGTAAAGTGTTGAAAGGACTACAATACTTGACATGAAAAAAAAAAAAAAGATAAATACTAGATGGCAGTAAAATTAAAGGGTTTTTTAAAAATTTCTCTTTGTTGCCAGGTAGTGTTTGTCTACATTTTTCTAACTGGATGTCCTCCAGATGTGTTATCTTCTGTTCCTATAATCCATGGCTAGGGATGACTCATGATGACCATTGATTAACAGAATTTTATGTCCAACACATCTGGAGAGAATCAAGTTATGGAAGGCAAGTTCTGTTACTTTTACTGAATCCCTCAAGAACAAGGGTACAGAATTGTAGACTTATAAGACTTACTGAACTACTTCTCCCAACATCCTCTGCATGGGTCATATTGATGAAGAATATTAAGAATAATCTTAATAAAACATTATTTGGAGCATGGTCAACTGGCCTGAAGCTTACATGAAATTTACCTGAACAACTGTTCTGCCCCAGCTACGGATCCCAAAGAACGCAGCACACACAAACTCCGAACAAAACTCAGTTTACTTCAAAACACAGTCTTTTGCAAATGCAAGCTGTTAATAAAACGTTCTTAACAACCTGCCAGAAATTCCACAGATAAGATAGTCTTACTAGAGTTGGCAGAAAGCCCAGAAGCACTGTTTGCAGAGAAAATCCAAACTCAATGATCAGCGAAACAAACGAACATTGTTTCCTGCAGCTTTTTACAAGCTGTGTGCATTCTTAAATAGGCTAAGGAAGTGGCCAATTAGCCCCAAGCCTTACTCTCGAGGAGACTTCCTCCTGAGGAACCACTCCTGCCTTTTGGCAACTCTGCGTGCCCATGGATTGAGAAGAGGCTCCTCCACTTCATCCTCTGCACTTAAAGGAACCTCTGGAGGTTCTGAAGGCCCTGGCTGAATCCCTGCCTCTGGCACCACATCTTCTTCAGCCTCCTCGCTGTCCAACTCGAGTGCTGGGTGCACAGGCTGCTGGCGCGACACCACACCAGCCTTCTCGTCATCGGAACCAGCAACAATCCGCGCAGGCCACTGGCGGGCCACAACAACAACCTTTATGTCTGCAAAGAATTGGTCTATATAAATTAGATGACTTGATATAATACCTTTATCTCCTTTGGTGCATATTTTCCCATCATCCTCACGTAGGTATCCTTCGTGACAGTCACATCGATAGCTACCAAGAGTATTTACACAGATGTGAGGACAGAGAGGCTCACTGCTTGTGGCACACTCATCAACATCTGAAAGGAAATATATGTAAGCATTGAGGAAATGAAATGATCAAAAGTAAATATAAGTTTGTGTTCATTGTACTGAATTTGGAGAGAGGCTGTAGCTCAGGAGAGACATATGTTTTGCATAGGAAAATCCTTGGTTGTTTTCCACTACAGATTATCTAATCAGGTGTCCTTCCAATATCCTATAAAACAGGGGTGAAATCCAGCAGGTTCTGACAGGTTCTGGAGAACCGGTAGTGGAAATTTTGAGTAGTTCGGAGAACTGGCAAATACCACCTCTGGCTGGCCCCAGAGTGGGGTGGGAATGGAGATTTTGCAATATCCTTCCACCAGGAGTGGGGAGGGAATGGGGATTTTGCAGTATCCTTCCTCTGCCATGCCCACCAAGCCATATCACGCCCACCAAACCATGCCCACAGAACTGGTAGTAAAAAAATGTGAATTTCACCACTGCTATAAAAGTATTTATTTATGATCTTGGGGAAGGCATTTTGGAAAGGAGGAAGGAATGAGAAAGTGATTTAGGAGGGACTTGACAATTCACAATTAAAACATTAAAAGAAGCATGATAAAGCAATTCAAAATAACCTCAACTTGATTTTATTTAATATACGATGGGACAGAGAGAAACTTGGGTATGCTTTTAAGATTCCATTACTCTACTCTTCAACAATGAAGATTCATTCCTGGAATCCCTCCGGTGTCTGTTTCTTGACCTGGGCAAGCATATTGTCATTGAACACATCTGATGGTTATCAAGTTGGGGAAAACTGTAATACATAATAGGAATGTTCATTTTTTTTGGAAAACGATAGAAAATAGGTGCTTTTGAATGTATAGTACTGCAACCTCAGTGAGCAGATAGCAACAAGGAATACTTGCACAATTTTGCATGTATATTTGTGAAACCGCAATCCAAAATGCCAGAACATTTGGAAAAGAACAGGAAATTCCAAAAGTAATCATGTTCCTGATGCAAGCCTTTTATTTTCAATTGAAAACTAATATGCAAGGAGAAATTGTGCTGAGTTTTCATCTAATAAACAAGATCTCAAGAAGAGAGAGAAAAGAGAGAGAGAGAGAGAGAGAGAGAGAGAGAGAGAGAGAGAGAAGAGAGAGAGAGAGAGAGAGAGAGAGAGAGAGAGAGAGAGAAAGCGCTCAGGATGTTCTTATTGAAAGGCCAAAGGACAAAATGGCATCTAATAGAAAAAAGAGAGATGACATTTCTCTAGTTCCACATACAGAACTGAGCTAGATTGACAGCTGGATTTTATTTTTTTTTATGTTATGATGTGATAAACCTACTGTATTTTTTGGCATATAAGACGCTCCGGACTATAAAATGCACCTTTTTTAAGGAGGAAAACAAGAAAAAAAAATCTGCTTCTGCTTCTGCCTCCCAGCAATTTTCCTCCTTGCAGCAAACAGCAAACAGCTGTTTCAGTTTCAGTTTCAGCATATCCTGATTAGCACAAGAAAAAAAAATCTGCCTCTGCCTCCCAGCAATTTGCCTCTTTGCAGCAAACAGCCTGTTTCAGTTTCAGCACAGCCTGATTAGCACAAGCAGCTGATTGTCAGTTGGATCGGAATCCCAACCATCAGCTGTTTCAGGCTGCAGGGATTGCCATAGCCTATTGCTGCCTCCACCCACCCCATTTTTGGCCTCCGCATCCCGTTTTCAGCCTCCACATGCCCAGTTTTTGGCCTCCGGGCACCCCCATTTTTAGTCAGCGGGGCAGAAAATGGGGCACAGGGAGGCGGCAATAGGCTAGGGCAATCCCTGCAACAGCTGATAGTCGGGAGGCCAATCCAATAGACAATCAGCTTCTTGTGCTAATCAGGCTGTGCTGAAGAAACAGGCTGTTTGCTGTAAGGAGGCAAATTGCTGGGAGGTAGAGGCCAAAGGGTGGGGGGCGGTGGGTGGGTGGGGCTACACCCAAATTTTCACCCTCTTTTTTTGGGGAGAAAAGTGTGTCTTATACTCTGAAAAATACAGTACTTTATGTACCAGAGGTAGCAGACTTATTTACAGAATGCAGAACACAATCCACAGCACACTGTCCTACAACACAGGAACTTCAGAAAGACTTTCCAGACATAACTGCAATAGTTGCCTCACTGTATCTTTTGATAGAACTGTCCCTATTTAGAACTGTATAAAGTTAAGACAGCTAAATTCACGCTCACATGTATGGAAAGGCACAAAATCAGCATTTAAACAGTTACATTATTATAAAACTAAGGGCTGTTAGTTCTACATGTATTTCAGCTGCAGTTCTTTGCACCCACCTAAGCAATAGGGTTTTTCTCGGTTCCTGTGTCTTTCACGGTCATACCGATAACCAGGGTAACACGTACATAAGACTCGACCAAAGTTGTCGGTGCACTGCTGTTCACAAGGCGCATCTGCACAAACGTCATAGTCTAAAGAGAGAATATGACTCAAGTTAGCAGCTGCCCCAAACCGCAAGAGCAATGGAATGTTGACATGCATTTTATCTCTATGTGTTAATGTAGATCTACTCAAAGTTACTCCTCATGGAAGGGTAGCAAACCACTGCCCATGATAAAGGACTATCTAAATAAACAGAAAAGACAAGTACAATTTTTCAATTGGATCCTGTTTTTTGAAGAAATTTTCTGAAGAAGTTGCCTTTGAAGAATTTATCAGTATGAAAGTCACGTGCAATAAGTAAAAATGGAAAATTATGAGTTGGAGAAGATCAATAATTGTATCTAACTTAGTCCAAAGATCATCCTAGAAAGTCTTATCATGGAATAAATTAGGAACCAGAGTAAAAAATAAACTGGGAGACAATTCAAAAGCAGTGTACCAATCTCCTTAAAGAGAAAATTGTTAAATCAGCATCATCGTCATCAACTATTCGGTTGTGTCCGACCCTCGGCCACTCTATGAATCAGCATGCTCCGTGCCCCTCTATCTTGCACTGCCTCCTTCAGATCCATCCTTTTTAATGTCCAGCCAGCGGGTGCTAAGGCAGTCCCTTCTCCTTTTCCCACTGATCACTCCCAGCATGATTGACTTTTCAAATGAGTCAGTTCTCATGACATGACCAAAGTATAACAGCCTCTGTTTGGCGATCTTGGCTTCAAGTTATATTTTTGGTGAGGTGTTAAATCAAAAAGTACTACTTACGTTGACACGTGGTTTCAAAAAAATGGCCATTAAGCGTGAAAGCAATACTGAATTTGAAAGTTACTCAAAGAAGCTTGGGATGACAAATGCTAAAAAGGCAAGGCAAGACATATATACGTAGATACACCAAAGCTGGGACTAGAAGACATAAGAAAGTGGTGGCCTCGTGATAATAGATGCATGCAGATAACAATCCTCATTAGTAATAGTTCACTTTAAAAGAGCCAGAAAATAACCAAAGAAATAATGTCCAAATAATATAACTTATCAAAGGGGTAACTGGTGATTTGTAACATATCACAACAGTTGGAAAGCAGCCAAAGTGGTCTTCATCCTACAGTGGGCTGATTTGGGCTGAGAATGAATGAATGAATGAATGAATGAATGAATGAATGAATTTATTGATGGTTGTGAGACAACTCATCATGTTGTTGACATGCTGTTTTATATGTGAGGGGGTCCTTGGTGCTCTCTGAGCTTGCTTGTTTTCTTGTAGAAGTTTCATTACCCTAAGTAGGTAACATTAACAGATTAACAGAGTTGGAAGGGATCTTATAGGTCATCTAGTCCAACCCCCCGCTCAAGCAGGAGACCCTATACCATTTCTGACAAATGGCAGTCCAATCTTTTCTTGAAAGTCTCAAGTGATGAAGCTCCCACAACTTCCGAAAGCAACTTCCATTGGTTGATTGCTCTCACTGCCAGAAAGTTCCTCCTAATTTCTAGGTTGAATCTCTCCTTGGTCAGTTTCCATCCATTATTCTTTGTCTGGCCTTCAGGTGCTTTGAAAAATAGCTTGACCCCCTCCTCTCTGTGGCAGCCCCTCAAATATTGAAACACTGTTGTCACGTCTCCCTTGGTCCTTCTCTTCACTAGACTAGCCATTCCCAGTTCCTGTAACCGTTCTTCATATGTTTTAGTCTCCAGTCCCCTAATTATCCTGGTTGCTCTCCTCTGCACTTTTTCTAGAGTCTCAACATCTTTTTTATAGTGTGGTGACCAAAACTGGATGCAATACTCTAGGTGTAGTCTTACTAAGGCTTTATAGAGTGGTATTAGTACCTCACTTGATCTTGATTGTATCCCTCTGTTAATGCAACGTAGGATTGCATTGGCTTTTTTAGTTGCTGCTGTACACTGCTGGCTCATATTTAGCTGATTGTCCACTAAGACTCCAAGATCCCTCTCAGTCATTGCTATTAAGCCTGGTTTCCCCCAGTTTTTATGTGTACTTTTGGTTTTTCTTACCTAAGTGTAGGACTTTACTTTTCTCTACATTGAATTTACTACACATCATCAGTGCTAGTAAGGAATCCTGTTTACTGTCAGTTTACATCCTGGTGTCTTCCCTGTCTCGGTGGGTGGGGGCAGTCTTAGGGATTCTTTGGTCGGGCTGTTTACTGATGACTCTTTGGCAGTTTCTTGATTGGAGTACTGCTTACTTGATTGTTGGTCTGAAGCAGGGGTGAAATGCTCCCAGTTCGGAGCGGATCGCCTGATCTGATAGCGATGGCGGCGGGTGGTTCGGAGAACCAGTAGCAAAAATCCCTGCTCCCTCATGCCCAGCTGAGCCGCGCGATCATCAGAGGCTTTTTTTTTACTTTTAAAAGCATTTTTCTACAACCTCTTCAGCTGAAGAGGTTGTAGAAAAAATGCTTTTAAAATAAAATAAAAAAATTTGGCCACGCCCACCCAGTCACATTACCCCACCCTCCCCCCACCAAGCCATGCCCACAGAACTGGTAGTAACAAATTTTACATTTCACCACTGGTCTGAAGTTAACCTTGGAGTTAATCTATTCTGATCTGAGTGCCGATTACTAGTGGAGAAGTGCTGGAGTCTTTTTGTCATCTTTTTGGCTGGTTGATTGTCTCTTTTGCATAGAGACTATAGATGTTGTTAATGTCTATGTGTCTATTGGTGGCTGATTTGTCAGAGTTCCAGGCTTCTAGAAATGCTGTTATATGTTCATGAATGTATAGTCTGCTCCAATTGTGTGCTATCCACAAACACAATTGGACTTTTATAGTTTAATAAGAATTAACTTAAAAAGCAACTAATCCCAAATACCAGGAATTAGTTATTGGAAGCAGTCATGTTCTTGCACCTTTGCATAGCTTCTTGTACAGTAGTAAAATAAATTCATTGACTGCTGCTTTCAAGGACAGGAAATCTCAAAGCACACTGTTGAAATTATGTGTAGCATGCAACACATAACTAAATAGAAAGGAGGAAGAATCATTGTTATTGTGCCAATAAGTAGTTCCAAAAATGTCGAGTTCATACCAAAATTGATTGAAATTTGGGGCATCTTTCTTTGCTCAGCCATCAGAAATAGTTGCAGAAGAGAACAATTGATGAGATTCGGAGGAATTAATAACGTTTTCCATTGAGGATTGTAACCCCATTTTCTCATTTATCTCACAAAATGGTTATTTTGATGTGTGCCTCCAAACCTGATTTGAAATCACAAACTACATTTGGTTTCCAACTGGTGGTAAGTGTGTAAGCGGATGATGTAACGTGTCGAATCTATTTGAGTTATAATCACAGTTTCTCATTTGGTTCAAAGTTTTTACCAAAAGTCAGCACAGAATGTATAGTCCCCAGGGTTTTCTCAGTGCTGAAAACAGAGCTAAGAAAAAAGAAATCACTTCATGAGTTTGATCATCTACCAAGTTCTGTTATCACAGTTTTGCCCCAATACACTATCAAGTTTATGCCTGGCTGCCAATAATCCCAAACATTGAACCATTACAAAGCTAGAACATCTGCTGATGCTACATCTTCGTGCCATAAAAATAAGATGAGTCCTTTAATCTATTTTCATAAAGTTGGTTCACAAGAAGAGTGTCAAATTTATGCAGTGTCTTACAACTCTTCTAACAATGCAGGCCTGCCAGAGTTGAGAGTGCATGACCTATAAAACACACTCTTACATGTACATTCTATGTGTGTGAATGTTTAATAAAGAATGAGTCATAGGTTGTAATATTACAACATTTCCTTTTAAACAAATGGTTATCATTTTCAGAACAGTGGAATCTTCCAAGAATGTTTTGAAAAGAGGAATGGCACATCTATCCGAACATTTACCAGCATGTACCTGGCAAAAGTGGGCCAGAGAAGTCAACACAAATTTCACAGATGTCAGTGTCCCCAGAACACCCCCAAAACAGTGGTGGGTTGCTTCCGATCCTGTCTGGTCCTTTAGAACCGGTAGTAAAAGTGTCAGGAGGCTCCACCCACCCGCCCAGATGTCATAATTGACAATCTGTGCATGCGCAGAAGTGTGCACGTGCTCCCGTTGCAAACTGGTAATAAAAGTAAGTAGAACCCACCTCTGCCCCAAAAGCCCCCTTTCCCAAGACATAATGAACATCAAGCAAGATTTCAGCAATTTCTTTCCATCATGTCTCCTGGGTAGAGTCCACATGGCAAAATGAGCAGAGTATATAGCAAGACCCACGTTTAGATCTATTCAGTCATGAAGCTGATGGGAAAACTGTAAGTCTGCTGATAGGTAAAATTTGGTCTAACTTGTTTTTTTTTTAAACAGAACTTTCCAAAATTGTATTTTTCCAAAAAAAAAGAAAGAAAGAAAGAAAAGAAAAGAAATGGAAAGAACAGAGCTGTTGACATGAGATGGAGAGGGTAAAGCGGTATGGTGAAGACAGGTGGGGCTTCGCTCTATGAAGACGCCAGCTCGGGTCAAAGGAATATTAGCATTGCATCCAGGCTATTCGGGAAAGCACTGGGTTAACAAAAGACAGTCTCTGTTATGGCTATGAGGAAGTGAAGTTGTTATCCGTTAGAATCTTTTATTAACTGATTTTATGAATACAGGTAGTCTTCAAGTTACAACCACAATGCTCCAATACCGCAAGCGGATCATGGGATACTTCAGGGGGTGGGGGAGGCCTTGGGAGGTGCAAGACAGGTGGGCCTGTGCCTGCACTAGGCCTCCCAGGATCTCCCCCCCCCTGCCCCGAGGCACCCCATGCTCCATTTAGCAACCCACACATTTGATTAACAAATGCATTGGGGAGAACAAGAATAGCTGGCCGTTACCTGAGGCAATTCATGTAACATTTGTCCTGACTTCTGACTCTAATGGGCAGTCTCCATTATGGTCATAAACCCAAGGACCTTTATATTAAAATAGCATCCAGCTAGCATCTCAGGTCCAGTTTTGTTCTTCCCTTGCTATATTTTTTTGAGGAACCCCTTCCTGAAAGGGTCACTACGCAAACAAAACGTCAACATCACCTCTTGAAGTTATAATGGCGGCTGTTTGGGTACAAGAAGGATAAATGTCAGAAACAAAATCCCAGGCGCCATGAGTTTTCCTGCCCATAGGAACTGTCTCCCTTGCAGTTCCAGAGGCAGGGCTGCATAATTCTCTTTGAAGCCTCTCTTCTGAAGAGGAGCTGAGCTAATAATTAATGGACTCAATTTGGAAACTTCTCAGGTCTATCCCATCCCGTGGGGTGCAGGCCTCATGTCAGGCTGGGGGTCTTGTGTGTGGAAGAGTCTGAGTTAAAGAAAGAAATGTGGTGTGTACAGTTTTATGTCCAGCTGGATTCAGTATCTTCAGAATTGGGACGAGGCCTAAATTGAATTTGTCATCTCCTTCCACATGTCATTTCTTACCATACATTCTTTATGATTTCAGTGTTAGCTATGACTACCCCCACCCTGCTTTCTGAAAGGTTTTTGATAAACAAATTAAGATATCGCAAAAGCGTACCAAATTCTTTCACATTTGAATAACATAAAGCTGGGGGACATCACAGGAATTTTTGGTTCATTACCATGCCTATTAAACACTCAATCTTATATTTATTATTTAGCAAGGGAAGATAGAACCATGGAAGGGATAAACCACAATAAAGAAACATTTAATTACATACCTTCGGGAATACATTGTCCAAGAACAAACTTATAACCTTTGCAGCACTTTTTTCTGGAAGACAACAACAACAAAAAAGAGGTTGGTGATGAAATCAGTAAATTAAGAATCCTATTCTTCATATAAAACAATAGGACTGGAAGGTGTCATTAAAATTCCTCAAAATTCCCACTTGCCTTAATTCTACAAACTTACACCTAGGAAGTTGAGTCTACTATTCTGTTTTTCAATCTGTGATACAAAACGCAAATAATAGCCCTTTTACATGTATATAAATATCTTTCATGTATAGGTAGTCCTCGATTTACAATTGCAATTGAGCCCAAAATTTATGTTGCTAAGTGAGACATTTGCTAAGTGAGTTTTGCCCCATTTTACAACTTTTCTTACCACATAAATAAATCATTGCATTGTTAAATTAGTAATAGGGCTGTTAAGTGAATCTGGCTTTCCCATTGACTTTGCTTGTCAGAAGGTTAAAAAAGGTGAACATATGACCCCAGGACACTGCAACTGTCATAAATAGAATCTGTTGCCAAGCATCCAAATTTTGATCATATGACCATGGGGATGCTGCAACGGTCATAAGTGTGAAAAATGGTCGTATGTCACTTTTTTCAGTGCCGCTGTAACTTCAAACGGTAAATCAAGGACTACCTGTAATATTCTTCTACCAAAAGTTAAGACAATTAGTAAATTGCCCACCAATTTAGTGCATATATAAAATGACATTAAAACTATAATTGACTATGTTATGCTTTTGACATTTCTCAATCAATATTATTGCTGAAACAGACAGGGAGATAAGTCAGTTATGGGAAGAAAATAAGGGATTGTTTGCAATCTGCTGAAGGGTGAACTTGCTTTTAATTAAATCTTTCTTTAAACTTTTTAATAAAGCGCCATCATCTCTAATAATCATAATAGGTAAACAAGCTTTGATATTATCCATATATTACCCCATAATATTAAAAGTAGTTAAAAGCAAAACATAGTATATATGAGGATGAGCCTACTTTCCTCTAAACCCAACCATTATATAGCATTATAATCACAATTATGGGAGTCAAGGTTAATTATTATCATTATTTACTATCTCATAATAATAGAGATTCTACTTTAGTACAGACCACTACAATAAAAGAATTGGTAAATTAGTGTGCATTCTATTAGTCACTATATGAACTGTTGAAAAGCATAATTAGAACCTCCCTCCCCAATTTTCTATTCTCCTTAACTTCAGTTTCCTGATCCTCTTCACTGTCCTTTAAATCAGGGGTCTCCAACCTTGGCAACTTTAAGACCTGTGGACTTCAATTCCCAGCATTCCTCAGTCAGCTTTGCTTTGCTGAGGAATTCTAGGAGTTGAAGTCCACAGGTCTTAAAGTTGCCAAGGTTGGAGACCCCTGATTTAAATAATTTCTACTTGATCTACTTAAAATGTGGTGATCAGAACTGCACACAGACTGGAAGTATTTTCATTATTGTAAAGTTATGACCCAGACTAAAATTTCATTTGCCCTTTTTGCAGTTACATTATACTATTGACTTCTAGCTTATGATGGGTTGTAACTCCAAAATCACTTTCAGATGTACTATTGTGCTAACAGCTAGGTATGGCTTATCTTAGACTGATGTATTTGATTTATTTTACCTAAATGAATAACTGCATTTATCTCTGTTCATTTTAATCTGGCATTCCCTGGCCAGTTTTTTTTAAAAAAAATACATGAGATTACTTTGAATATTATTTATGCCTTCCAAGTCATTAGCATTTATTTATTTGTAAAACTTACATAGTCACCCATTTTATATACCATAACCTTGGGAAGCTCTCAGCAGTATCAGTAAAATACAAACAGATAAAACAATGCTGTATAACATCAACAGTGGACTATTCCCAACAAGCACTGTTTTCTATCAATATAGTAAGCATTTCCCATTTGTTTCTTCCTCAATGCATAAAAATGAATACAAATTACGATGAGCGCATGGCTAAAAACTGCAGATCTTCCATCACCCACTCATTCTCTTTTTTCTCCTATTTTGTGGTGCTATGATTAATGAGCATTATATGAATGTGTTTTTCTGCAGATTTAAAAAAATATATTCATTAAATGTATATGCTGTCTATCTTGCTAACCAAAGCAATTCAAAGAGACAGGTTTAACTAGTAGTAATATAATTTTAACGATCACGGACCTTTTCATAGTTAAATAGCAATGATCCGTTACTGAATGTTCCCTGTGATAAAACTCTAGTGCAATCAACACAATAACAGTATGGTGGGAAGCAGTGCTAGCCACAAAAGGACTTACGGAAATGTGTGGCCACACTGAGGAAAAGAGAGAGAGAGATCCTGTGGTTACTGCTTGGAGCTAACGGAATGAATAACTCTGGAAACAGCCTGCTACTATTATTTTACTTTCTGACCCTAAGAAAAGTACGTTTCTTAAATGGAGCATTAAAAATATGAATCCTGGCTGAAAAAGAAGGGTATACACCATTGGTACTAAGAAAGAATGCCTGAAAATGTTCATGTATTTCCTCTAAGGATTGTGAGCTGCTAGATTTATGACATTTACAGTATAAATGCATAGTTCATATAGCAGTTGTCAAAAGGCCTAGGAAGATAATCTTCCTGCCATTGCCTGGCTTAGGATATTACATGATATGTTAAGGCAGATCAGTGAAATTGTCAACTTTTTAACTGAAGTCAAGATTTCTAGCAGGAATTTGTTAGGATTTGGAGCAGTGGTTCTTTTACACAGGAAGTTCTCAACTTATGACCACAACTGAGCCCACAATTTAAGTGAGACATTTGTTAAGCGAGTTTTGCCCCGTTTTACGACCTTTCTAGCCATGGTTGTTAACTGAATCATTGCAGTTGTTAAGTTAGTAAATGGTCGTTAAATGAATCTGGCTTTCCCATTGACTTTGCTTGTCAGAAGGTCACAAAGGGGGAATCACATGACCAGAGGACACTGCAACCGTCATAAATATGAGTCAGTTGCCAAGCGTCTTGAATTTTGATCACAAAAGTTCACAAAAACTGTTCACATGAAACTCAGGACACCGCAATTGTCTTGAATATGAACCGCTTGCATCCGAATTTTGATCACATGACCATGGGGATGCTGCAACGGTCGTAAGTATGAAAAATGGTCGTAAGTCACTTTTTCAGTGTCATTATAACTTCCATGGACTGGAGGGGGCGTGGTTTTGCGTGCTGCCTGCATCCTGTGGGTGGGGCTTTGCTGGTTTGTGGTCTTCCTATACAGGTAGTCCTAGTTCAGTGATGGCTAATCTTTTAGCTGTCGTGTGCCAAAAGCAGGGGGAGTGCAGGGGGAGTGCAGGGGGGAATCCATAATTCAATGCGCCCCAAACATGCACATATGACCCCCCCACTCCTCTAGCTTTTGGCATGTAATGGCATGGTGGGCCTGGTAGGCCCATTTTTCACCCTCCCCAGGCTCCAGAGGCTTTCTTGGAGACTGGGGAGGGCAAAAACAGCCTTCCCCATCTCCCCAGAGGCCCTCCAGAGGCCGGAAACGCCCCATTTCCCAACTTCCAGAAGGCTCAAAAATCGTCTGGCACACACATGCACACTGGAGCTGAGCTAGGGCAACACTCACATGCCCACAGATATGGCTCCGCGTGCCACCTGTGGCACACGTGCCATAGGTTCGCCATCACGGTCCTAGTTCATTTATGTCCGGGGTCCCCAATCCTTGGTCTGTGGAACGGCTTTGGGCTGTGGCATGCCAGCAACTGGGCCATGCAAACAACCGAAGCCCCATCCACGGAATGCAGGTAGCATACAAAACCACGCTCCCTCCGGTCCATGGAAAAATCTCTCTCCATGGAACCGGTCCCTGATGCCCAAAAGGTTGGGGGCCTCTGATTTACGCTACTATGCAAGACTAGTTTTCGTAGTCACTATTGGTTTAAGGTTAATAATATTAGTTAAAATGCCCCATCAGGCTTCTTTGATTGACCTTGTCTTTTGGGGCTTAGCTGGGCAAGCAAGTCTAAGAGATAGCAGTGCTTTGATCATCCATTCTTTTAATTTTACATACAGGTAGTCCATAGTCATCGTGAGACTGACTTAATTTTATGACCCTTTCTTGAGTAGTCATTAAGTGAACAGGGTAGTCGTTAAGGGGACATATTGTCTACTATTGCTTGACTTTTGATGGAAACCAGATGTAAACACTGGTTGCTGGCAAAAATGTTGTATTTCGTGATCATGTCACCGTGGGATGCTGCAAATGGCCATAAATGCGGGCCAGTTGCCAAACGCCCAAAATGCAGTCATGTGCCAGCAGGGGAGGGCCTGATGTTGGAACTTGGAAACTGGGTCATAAGTAGCTTGGGAAGGTCCATCAAAGGGGTAAGTGATCGGTCATAAATTGAGGATTATCTGTAATGATTGAAATAAAGCATTGTTCCACTTTAGGTTGTTTATAAAAATAAAAATGGAGGGATAGGAAATAAATAAAGCCGAGGTGGCACAATGGTTAGAATGCAGTACTTCAGGCTATTTTAGCTGACTGCTAGTTGCAGTTCGGCAGTTCGAATCTCACCGGCTCAAGGCTGACTCAGACTTCCATCCTTCCGAGGTGGGTAAAATGAGGAGCCAGATTGTTGGGGAAAATATACTGACTCTGTAAACCGCTTAGAGAGGGCTGTAAAAGCACTATGAAGCGATATATAAGTTTAAGTGCTATTGCTATTGCTATAAAATAAGGACGATACATAGCAAACTGCAAAGCTAAACCCTGCCTCAAATCCCATGCCACAAAATACAATTGTTCAGAAAGCCCTGAACCCTGTAACTATGGAAGCTGCCCAAGGCCTCAATATACAAACACAGTTCTACATTTCAATAGATGTTTAAAATCATCCTTTTGTAGGAAAGCCTAATAAAATCTCCTGAACATGATGAAGGATAATAGAAATCTGGCTAAATGGGAAAAAAAAAAGCAGTGTCAGAAAAGTCAATGTTATCATTTGAATGTTCATAATTTAAAGAAAGCAGAACATAAAACAGA